AAATTTAGTCCATTCCACCAATAATACAAGAAATAAAATTGAGTACTGTGTTATGTTAGTAAAGACAAAAGAGTTTGAAAATTATTTATGTACATTATTACTTCCATTTAATGTGCGTACTACAGGAATGATTATTAGAGCTTTTAACATAGAGCTAGCACAAATCGATGCTTTAACATCTGATTTAAAAACAGCTCAAATGAGAATTCAGTTTTGGAGAGAGACTTTAGAAAGTATATATGCTGGTCGACCTCCAAACCATCCTGTTGCTATATCATTGGCTTTATGTTTGGAAAAGCAAATGTTATCGAAAGCATCATTTAATAAGCTTATAGACATTAGAGAAAAACATTTAAGTAATAAGCCATTTATGAGTTTAGATGATGCTGCAACTTACGGAGAATATTCTGTTTCTCCAATACTGCATTTAATTATGGAGGGATTAGAAACAACGGCTCCAAACTCTTTTTTGAGTGCAAAACATCTTGGAAAAGCATGTTCTCTTGTTACACTTCTTCGTTCTGTTCAATATTTTACACAAAGACGTATTGTTCTTTTGCCTATTGAACTTTGTTATAAATATTCTTTATCTCAAGAAGATTTACTGCGCAATAAATATCCAGAAAAAACTAAAAATATATACAAAGAAATTACTAATTATGCATTAATGCATATTGATGAACTTCATAAATTAAAGAAAAGTTTGTCAAAAACTGAAAAACTAATTTTTCTTCCTAGCATCTCATGTGAAATTTTTCTAAATAATTTTCGAGATCTTAATTTTGACATTTTTAATAAAAAACTTTACAGAAGACAATGGATTCTTCCATGGAGGCTTTTTGTTACAACTTATTTTAAATAAAAATATTTAGTTGTTCTAGTTTTTATTGTATGTGTGTTGTAGTAGTTGTTTAACTAGAATAATATTAAATATTTTTACATTGTTAAAAATAAATCATTGTGTGGCAGTCATGTTGTTCAACTATTATGAAGACTAGATTATTTTTCATAAATTATTTCTTGCTTTTTATAGTTGTTTTAAATTGTTAGCTTTATGAATGTGTAATCAACTTTTTAAATATTTTATAGTTTTTTTCAAATAGTATTTAGAAAGAAACACATTTATCTTACTAAACACTGAAATGTTTTTTTTATTTAAGTATTTTTTTAAAATATTTATATAAAATTGTTAATTATAAATAATTAACAATTAAGTTTTGAACTTGATGAAAATCTTTTTGCTACAATGATTACAGTTTATATTTTTACATTTGAAATTATTTTTAACTCACTATAGCAATTTTTTAGGGAATAGTTTTTCAATTTCATTGTTGCATATATAATATTATAGCAATAATATTATTATTGTTATTAATAGTGTTATCTTTGTTATTGCTATTACTTTTGTAATATTTACTATTTATATAATTATTAGGAATTTTATATCAAAATTTTTATTATTATTTGTATGTATATGTATTGTGTATATATGTATATATATATATATATATATATATATATATATATATATATATATATATATATATATATATATATGTGTGTATATATATATATATATATATATATATATTTATATGTATATATATATATATATATATATATATATACAGGCCTGTATTGTATATATATATATATATATATATATATATATATATATATATATATATATATATATATATATATATATATATATATATATATATATATATATATATACAGTCTTCAGCGGGAAATGAGAGCTTTAGCCTTCGCTCTCGCCCACACTCCCCTAAAACGGTTTACAATATACGGCTATCGCAAAAGTATAACTTTTCTCACAAAAGTATAATTATCGCTGAAAATAAAATAAAAAACACAGTCTTGTACAAGAGTATGTATATATAAACTACTTTAAAACATCAGGTAATACGAATTCTTTTAATATTAAATAATTTTTTTGAAATTTTCGCCGGATTATACGCACCGGCATCATCAGCATATAATATAAGATATTTACAAAAATTGTGACCGTTAAATAACAAAAATTTTTAAATTTTGACATCACCTTTATAATGGTTTCTTTCATTTAAATATGAAAAAAATGAAGTCCAAAAATTTGTTTTAACATATTGTCCATTGTCCAAATTTAAACAACCATACATTGGAGAACATATATTATTTTTATCTACGGAATATTGATGTTTTTGTTATTTATCTCATGAGCTTTTCTTTCAAATTTTTTAACCTCAACTTTAAGTGTTTCTACTTTAAAATCCTTTATTAAAATATACTATTGAGGTTAAAAACAAAAATAAGATACTTAACTTTCTATATATAACTGTAATTAATAATACACAAGAAAAATATGAGTTCAAGGTTTACAGGAAAGATGCTATAACCAATGTTTAAATCAAACCTCATTCTAATCACGATCCCAAAATTTAAAAAGCAATCTTCAACAGATACATACAAAGAACCTACTCAATATGCAGCGAAAATCATTTAAAAGATGAGATAAATTTTTTAATTTAAGTGTTTACTGAAAATGTGTGCAATCAAAAAATGCTTGAAGATATTTCTTATCAGGTTCAAAAAAAAAATGTTTAGGAAATAAAAATGAAATCCTATCAAACTGTAATATTCAGAAAAGCTGTTTCAGAATATTCAGAACTGTTTTTAAATCAATTGCTAACCTAAAAAGGCTATTAACGTCTAAAAAAAAATCAAAATTTCCATGCAACAGCCAACCAGGAAGCTATTTAATTCAATGTCAGTGAATCAAAACTTCAAATACAAACAAGGGTTCAACAACACCAAAGTTTTTTAACTCAAGGCAAGTTAAATCAGTCTACCTTAGCTTTGCATAAAGTAAATTGCAATGAGGGCATTGAATGGGATGAAGTAGAAACACTTAAAGTTGAGGCTGAAAAATTTGAAAGAAAAGTCTGTGAAGCCTTGGAGATACAAAAACATCAATGTTCTCCAATGTACGGTGGTTTAAATTTGGACAATGGACAAAATGTTAAAACAAATTTTTTCATATTTAAGTAAAAAGAACCATTATAAAGGTGACGACAAAATTTAAAAATTTTTGTTGTTATTTATTGGTCACAATTTTTGTAATTATATTATATTATATGGTGATGATGCCAGTGCCTATAATCTAGCAAAAATTTTAAATAAACTATTTAGTATTGAGAGAATTCATATTATCTGATGTTTTAAAGTAGTTTGATAACTCTAGGACTATTCCTAAAAGATAAGTTTTAAATTTAAGTCAACCAAAATCTTGAAAAGAGGATAGCTTATTGTTACTAGTATAAACATTTTATATTTTTAGGAATAAAATCATGTTTTTGTAAAAGAGTAAAATTATGCAACCTCATGTACAATCCTAAATTATATTTATATTTAAATAAAATTGTGTTTTTAGATAATGGTTCAAAAAAAAACAATATTTTCTAAAAAAGAGACTTCTTTTGGGAGATGTGTTTCAGTATTCAAAAAATCTCTTAGTTTTAATGCAGTTTGGCAAGAAAAGGTTACTTGAAATTTAGCATCTTAATTTAAAAATTGTTTTGAAATTAAAGCATTAAGAATATCTTTAGGATGATTTACTGGATGTTATTTATTGGATGCGTCAGCTTTTTGCTTTATTAAATGGGATAATATGGGGAATAATACCATTCCAAGGAATAATAGGAATTGCAGGGTAAGATTTTATCAATTTTTAAATTTAAATTAGACAGGAAAACTAATATATATATATATATATATATATATATATATATATATATATATATATATATATATATATATATATATATATATATATATATATATATATATATATATATATATATATATATATATATATATATATATATATATATAATATATATATATATATATATATATATATATATATATATATATATATATATATGTGTATATATGTGTATATATATATGTATATATATATATATATATGTATTTATATGTATATATATATATATATGTATTTATATGTATTTATATGTATATATATATATGTATTTATATGTATATATATATTTGAAGGGGCTATTCTATACAGTTTTCGATAGCGTCAACTGCATTATGTCACAAATCCAATTGACATGTTCAAACATGTTTTTTTTGAGATTTATTATCACATTTTTTTATCTTCATATTTTTCACAAGAGTCCTTTTTTTTTAATTTTTTTTTTTTGTAATTTGTAACTTAACAACTTTCCTCCTCTAATTGTTTTCTAGAATACTGTAGTGTTATTTAATATTATCAATATTTTAGTAAAATACTGAAAGATTTTTATTGAGTCTATTTCAAATTTTCTCTATTTTATTTTATGTGTTAGTTTATTTTATTATATTTGAATGATTTGAGTAATAATACATTTAGATAGTTCATACATATTACATGTCGTATTGTTAAAAATATTTTTTATCATATCATATTGCATGTCAAATTGCATGTCATATTACAAGTCATATTGCTAAAAGTATTTATGTCAATATAAGTTTTTTTTTTCATGATTATTAAAATTGTTTTGTCAAAAAACCTCTTAAACATGAAATATACTTTTTATTGATTACCTTAAATACCTTGAAAGCATCGACATAAATTCTATGCTTTATACTCCTATCACTATTTCAATGACATTTTCTTTAAAAATAGCTTGTATTATTTGTATATAAAAAAAATATTCTGATAAGACTAAGAAGTAAATTTTACAATACAAATTTACCATAAATTTGTATTGTAAAATTTTATTATTAGTTTTATGTTAATATTAAAATGTTACAATAACTAATATAGTATAAACAGTGCTGACTAATCTTTAGTGGTGGTCATTAAAATGTCTTGCAAAGACATTTTAATGACCACCACTAAAATGTCTTTGCAAGACATGCAAACTGTGTTTGCTAAAAAGAACACAGTTCTACTGTGTTCTTTTTATTGAACACAGTTTGCATTTTACTGACTACCTAAAGTTCTTGCCTTCTGGTTAATTTTTAATTTACTATACTTTAACTATTAAGTATTTTTACTTATTTACTTTAATACTTTCTACATAATAAAAGTATCTTTAGCTTATAAGACAGTTGCGTAACATTTCTTCAGGTGTTTTTGGAAATATAGGCTATGATAATATTTCAACTCTCTTAAAAAGCAAATTTGGACGTTAAAAAATGGACCCAAGAGACCTAGTTATTTTAAATAAGTTAGCTATATCTGTTTGAAATCTTTTATACAAGCCTTTCTGTAAAAAAATTCTTAACAAATTCATATGATTAAGCTGTTTTTACTGCGGAATTTGACAAATAAATTTTTAAACCTGTTGTTTGTACAATTGAGGCTTAATACAAATGGAAACCGTCTTGATCGTACAAAAGGTGAATAAAGTATAAATGGTTTCCATTCACATATCAAAAGATAAAGGAAATATAAAAAACAAAGCGAAAATAGCCAATATATCCATTCAAAACAATTTCAAAAATAAAAAATATAGAAATTTATTTGAGAAGAAAACAAAAAAATTTTCTTGAGATATAACAAAAAAAAAAAAACTACAAAAAATTTTTATATTTAACATTAAAAAAACTTATAAAAGCAATTTAATTTTAAACATTTTTTCATTATTATATATCTTTTAGTAAATGGTATGAAGATTATCAAGCTTCATTTTAGCTTTTTGAATACAATTAACATTCAGAACATTTCTTAAATTCTGCTATGTAGGAACTTTCAAAATCAGTCATAGGAGAAGGAATTTGACCTAAAAATGGAACAAAATTGTTATTGAATACACTTAATACATATTGATTTGTTATGTACTCTATTTATTTGAAAACTCAAAAATGTGGCTAAACAGATAACAAATAAGAAACTTATTTTGTGAGGTTGTTTATCGTTTGTAAAAGTTTCAAGATTTATTGTTGGAAATTTGGATTAACAACTCTTTTTAAAAAAACAAGGCTAAAAATAAATAATCACAATAAAATATACTTTTGTTTTTATTTGAAAACTGAATCTTTAGTTTTTAGTGAATGATTATTATGTAGTCAGTTTCAGAAATGAAACTACCCTATAATCATTTAAAATTAAAGAACCCGATGTGAAAGTAAACCAAGTCATCTAATCTATCAACACAAAACAACACAACAATAACATAAAATTAACAAATAACATAATATATTACAGTAAACTCTAAATTACTTAAACCTTAAAGGAGACCAAGAAATTAGCTTGTTAGTGAATGCTAGAGTTATTGGCAGTATAACCCATAAATAAAGGCTCAAATGAAATTTTAAATTAGTTTAAGTTAAGGGTTATTGAGTTATCCAGAGTTTATTGTTCATATTTTAACTAGTAACAGCACACACATAGAAACACTAACAAAATATAAACCCATATAGCCTTATATAACACATAATAAAAACACACATTACCACATCATATGACACATAAAAATACTTGTCAAAAACTATAAATTAAGAACATTTATAAATATAACATTTGTGAAATTTTCATTCAATGACATACCTTGTTTATGCATGTGTATATGCAAATGTTATGCAAGTGTTATGCAAATGACTTGTTATGCATGTGTAATGCAAATGACTTGGTTTTAGAACATGCTACATAGAATTGGTTGTATGAAAACCAAGGCTTTTTGAGATTAATATCAATTTTATCAAATGTTTGACCCTGACCTTTTTTTATTGTCACTGATTATTGCTAATAAAAGTGTCGTATTTAAATAATTTATATAAATATTTAATAATTTGTTATTTGAATATATATATGTATATATATATACATATATATATATATATATATATATATATATATATATATATATATATATATATACTAATGTATGTGTATACTAATATACATACAATAGTATATATATATATATATATATACTAATGTATATATATATACTAATGTATGTGTTACTAATGTATGTGTATATAAAATTATTTAGAGGAAAGATACTACTTATAAAAAATTCAATATTAAAAAAATAATAATAATAAAAACAATTGATCAAGTTTTTGAGTCAAGTATAAGTGAGTACAACATTTTTCTTTTTGTAGCAGAAAAAGCTGCAGCTACATAAAAATTAAAATTACAATAAAAGCAATCAATCAACACAAGAAATCATGTATAAGTGTATATAACTATTACATTAAATATAAGTAGAACAATAAAGTTATTATACTCAATTAAACTTGACATTACATTGATTTAATTAAAAGAAATATTCGCACGATGTTAAGATGTTTATTACATATTTCAGGAAAAACGCAATTAAAAAATAATTATTAGAGGAATCTCTTTGTAAAACATTTTTCAAACTAAAAATGTTTATGAATTTTTTCATAATTATTTGGAAATATTTATTCATTAACTTTTGTAAGCATCTAAATTAGCTTATTTTTTATAAAAGTCAAATTTGATTTTTTTACCTTAAGGCTTTTTAAATTATGGCTACAGTATTATAAAATAGTATTGTACAATAAAAGCAATCAATTAATGTACTAAGTCAAGTATGAGTACAACAACACTTGTTAAGCCAGAAGAAGCAGCTAGTGCTATATATATATATATATATATATATATATATATATATATATATATATATATATATATATATATATATATATATATATATATATATATATATATATATATATATATATATATATATATATATATATATATATATATAAATAAAATAATAATACAAAACTCTTGCTGTAAACTCATAAGCCAAATCACAACACTTTAAAGCCATAAAAACAACATAACCACTTACACATAACACATAATGAAGAATTTTATATATTACAGGTATTTACACATTTATGACATAGAATTTATGATTACACCAAATTATCTAATATAAAATTTAAGATCTTATAACTGATTCAACAGATATTACATATTATAATAGAGGTAATAAAGATTTGAGAATACCTTATCATTTGGTCAAAAATATAAAGTGATATATTATATAGTCAAGCGTAACAAATCTTCTTTAAAAACTCAAGCACGCATGAATGAGTAAGCAGCATTAAATTAAACATTAATTATATAGGGCTAATTAGTTTGTATTTAGGACAAAGAGTTTGTCTAACAGCAAACCTATAACTATAATACTTGGACAAAGTAACACCATGCTCCACTTAAATGTGCCATCATCATTTTTTCCCTCTATTTCTGCCATGTTTTTAAATGCAGAAGCAAATGAGTTTTCTTGATTATTTAAATTTTCTAAGAGTTGCATTAGTTCATTTATACAACCATCATTACTAGGCAATTATTTGAGGGATGAGGTATTTTAACTGTGAAGGAAGCAAAAGATAAAAAGGAATTATAACACCTATCTTGATATGTTTTATTTCTACGGCAGTTTATTTCAGCTCACCTAGGCTTATCTCTTATATTTCAACAACAATTTCCCTCAGCTAGCCTAAGCTCATCTCTTTCATTTTGGCGACAGTTAAATTTATTTTGCTTAGCCTGGTTTCTTTAATTTTAACAAAGCCTTATAATTTTACTTCTTTAATCATCAAAGGAGTGTGTAAAAACAATGCCTAATATAATAAAAGCTGCACTTTTATTTCAAAATTGAGCTTTTGGTTTTCTTTCTTAACTTATCTAATATCACATGTAAGCAA